CTTCAAATCTTGCCTGTCATTTGCAGAATATATGAATCTGGCACACTAAGTTAACCGTCATGAGCCTTGATTAAAATTATTTTGAGGATTAAAAGGTAAAAGCACACAGAGCAAGGACCCAGAATGGGTCTCTCTCACTTACCCTGAGCTGAAGGATATAACAAGTACTCCAGCTTCTCTAAGAACATTTTCTTAGCATCAGTAGCTCTTTTGCCTTTCAGCTTCCTGCCTCCCCAGACCCTGATCTGGCGAGGGGTGAAGGGTCATTTCTCTCATCAGTACCTTAGACACACAGACACATACATCAGGGAGGCACAAGAAAGTGTTTTCCTACACACAGAGGAAGAAAAGTCTTTCCTTTCCCAACTTAGAAATTCACCCCTGGGGCAAGCGCGTGCACACACACACACACACACACACACACACACGGGAGCAGTCCCAGGTCCTGGATGTCGCTCTTCAGAGGACTCCTTGAAGGCAGAACCTGGCAGGAGTTAGGGGCCCATTCTGTACCTTTTCAGCTCAGGGTAAAGGCATAGAAGGCCTCCCCGCTGCAGACCCCTGGCTGGCTGTAGCATCCAGGGGAAGGCAAAATCATGCATCAGTCTTGTGTCTTTCTTCCTCTGGCCTGCTATTGAACTCTGACTGCTTTTTCCAAATTGGAAGTTGCTTGGCTTCTCTGGGACTCCCTTTTTCTCATCTGTAACCTGGGAATGATACATGTTTTTGAAGAACAAATGAGGCAACAGCTGAGCAGATGCTTCAGAAGCTGCAGAGTGCAAGGCAAATATCATGGATTCTTATTCTTGCACCCATTTTTATTTTCATTATTGCATCAGGTGAAAAACCTGGTCAGTGTGCTTGTCACTGCTGCTAATTCCCACCCCCACCCCCACCCCAGACCCTCATACATATACACCCACACATTCCCGCTCTGCAAAAGTGGGGAAATGCCAACAGTGCAGGTTCCTCTACCAATGAGCCAATGCTCACATCCCCCGAGGCAGCCTGCGGATGCCAGATTTGATGCTGATGGAGTTCTGAGCCGAGCAGTCCGCGGTTTCTGTATTCCTCCACCTCATGCTCTGGTTATGCCTCTCCAAGTTGCAGTAAGTCACTCATTCTCCTTTCCAGGCTTGAGTGAGCCTGTGCCTGGGGGGAGAGCAGGGTGTTCCACAGGAGTGGTGCTGAGAATTGTCTTCATCTTCTTTCCCTGGCATGAATTGGTGTGTTACAATTCAGTTTTACAATCTCCTATGGTGAGAAGTGGGCAGCAGTGGTAATGAACTTTCAAAACCCCCCAAAGAAGTTTAAGAAACAGACTACAGACCCCGTTGCTGGTAGAGGAGTGGGGGAAGGTCTGCCTCTAACCAAAAGGCCTGACTTAGAAGCAGTGAAGATCTCCAATGTTCTTTCTTGCGTCCAGAGTCATGTTTATGCCCAGAAATGAACCCCTCCTTGGAGCCATGTCCATGGGAGTAGGATTTGGCTGATGGGCAGCTCAAAGGCCTCCTTGTCCCTGCACTCTGCCTTCCTGTCTCTCCACCACCACCCAACCCACCCCATTACCCAGGGCTTTGTGGGTCCTCCCCCCCCCCCATGTAGCCTTGTCCATGAGCTTGACTTGGTGGTACTGAGCTCACTAGGATGGGGATGGGGCTTGCCTTCCCCTTATGAGGAGCATCTCTTCCAATATGTGGCCTATTGATGTAGTGAGTAAAGCAGATCTCCCCACACTTCGTGCTGATTTACATCCCTTAGGGAATGCTGTGAGCAAATCAACCCCTTGTAGAAAGAGCTAAGAGTCTGTGTATGAAAGAGCTTATGAAGAGCAGTCCCCAGGTGGAAAGAGATTAGCAACCAGAGCTGATTCCAACAGAAACAGAGCCCATCATGTTATTCTGTTTTGGGAATGTCAGAGAGGTGGGAAACAGAACAGAAATGAAGGACTTTCTTCAAAGGTTTTCACCCAGTGCCTACTCCATCCCTTATCTATGGATTTTGCTCTGGTCCCAGCTAGGTTACCTACTGCCTCCTCCAGGAAGGCTTCCAGGGCTGCTCTGTCCCACTGAACGCTCCTGTTCCAAGCCTGAGACAATCATGATAAGATGGGATTTGGGGGTGGTAGGGGGACATTTCTTAGGCACTAGAGAGAGAATAAAATTAAAACAAACAGTGTAAAAGCCTAGAGACTGAGGGGTTTATGGCACTCAGCAGCCTTACCCAGGGTAAGCAGAAATCTCTGCTTCCCTCCCAGTACTCTCTCGTAGGTAACATCAGCTTTCCAGGAGCAGGAGGCCCCATTGTTACCCTTGATATCTTGCCCCTTTCCCCACAACCAACCTCTCCACTCCGTTCTCTTCCAGAAGTGTCTCAAACCCATTCCTTGCTCCCCATCCTGCTGAGTCTGCCTTATTCACATTCTCACCATTTCTTCCCTGGACTCTGCTGTAGCTTCCTCATCAGTTCTCCAGCTGTATCTCTTCACTCCAGCCTTTCTACCCAGAATTGCATCCTCTCCTGGCCTGCCTGATGAGTGTCTCATCCTTTAATAAAACTCAGTTCAAATGTCACCTCCTCCAGGAAGCCTCCTGGGACTACCCCAGACAGTTTCCTTCTCTGTGCTCTTTTTACTTACTCCATGATAGCATTTATTTCAGTGTGTTCGAATTATTGATTAACATGTCTGTCTACCTCACCCCTTCATGGCAACTCCTTCAAGGTCCTGGACAATGTCTTATACTTTGTATTTTCAGGGTCTAGCAGGGAAGCTGACCATCATTACAGAGCAGGAAATGCTCAGTCGAGAAAAGAAGGGAATGGAAAATGGAATGGAAACTTTGCATAGTTATAGATTTTTCAATTCCTGAGCCACCCCCTATATCTTGTGAAGGTTTAAAGGTAATTTCCCTAAAAGAAACTTCTACTACTGTGTTGGTCCACCATTCTCTATCACAAGTTTCACAAGGTGCTGACTGCCCATACAGTTTCTTCAAAGCTGTGGAAGAGGCTTGGAATCCCAAGGAAGCAAAGGCCCAAGGAGATTAGGTGACTGCCTAAAGTCTCACAGCCAATTCATGGCAAAGATCAGACTAGAACTTGGGTCTCTTGGTGCCAATAGCCTTTCTTCAAGTTTTCCCACCAGGCAACAGCATATAATTATCAACATTAGTATTTAGAATTTATATGCAGCTTTTGCTTCACTGGCTTTTTTATTATCCTTTTGATTAGTAATTCCGTATGCAGCCCAGACATGGAGCAAGCCAGGATAGGGAGGGGAGAAACAGAGGAAGGCCAAGGCCAAGTAGGGGCCATGAGCCCTTGTGAAAGGGAGGCCAGATGGGAGCAAAGGTGCAAGAGGGCACATAGACTCAAGGGACAGTGCCTTGTGTGTGTGTTATGGGAAGAGGGGTCAGTGCAGCGGCTGTATTGGCCTCAGGATGAGTAGTCCAAGAGCCTTCCCAGTCTTGGGGCTTCCACTCTAATGGGGCAGGGGCAAGAATAGCAAGAATATATTTAACACTCAACAGGTTAAACACTAGTACCAGCCCTGAGACAGACCACAAGGCTTAGGGAGTTCTCTGCCCATCTCTGAAGAGAAGGAAATCCAAGCTCCATGATGGGGGCTCCCAGTTCCTACAGTGCATGCTAGGAGCTAAATGAAACTGGTCCAGATACTCCACTTCATGCGAGAGTGAGGGGGTTCTGGAGCCCATCATTGTGTTATGGTATCCTTAGCTCAGGGAGGGAGGACTCCCAATGCCAGAGCCTGGTTCTCAGTGCCTCCTTCCATCCCCAGCCCCAACTTTAGTTTGCTCTTGGGTTTACATTGCAGGCCCTTATTTACCTTCAGAAAATGAGAATCTTCTCCTCTCCCAACTTCCTGGTACTAAGGTGAGACCCAAGACCTTGTTTAAAAAAAAAATACCTCATCCACTCATAACACTCAAGATGAGGATATCCCCATGCTCAAAAAAGGGACAGAGGTGGGGGATTGGATAAAAAGCAGCACAGTCAGGGAGACAAAGCAGCTGGAAACCCTGGCTGATATCTGAGAATACCAGGTACCCCTGTGGGAGAACTGAGGGGAACACTCACCCACTGAGGGCCTATTTGGGGCCAATGTGTCACATATGCCACCTCACTTTGTCCTCATATGACCCCTATGAGGTGATTCAGCTCCCCCATTTTGCTAAGGAGAAACCTAAGCCTTTGAGAGGTTAAGTAACTTATTCAAAGTTATGTAGTTAATAAGAGAGACTCTAGGATTAAATCTTAGGCCCACAGTCTTTAAAGCCTATGCACTTCCCAGCACAGCACTGTTATCTCTAAATCAAGAAATTTAATCCCTATGAGCCTGGCATCTTTAAGTGTAAAATAGAAAAAAAAAATGCTGCCTCATAGAGTTTTTAAGAAAATTATATGAGATTGTATTTGTTTAAAACATTAAAAGTCAGCATGGTGTCTGATATGCAGTGGAGCTCAATAAGTGCTTTTTGTTTGCTTGTTTTTCTTTTTAGGGCAGATAATGTTAAAACTCAGGGCTTGGGAGCCTAGGGGCTCCAAAATGCTTCAAGAAGACGGAGCACCGCCCATCGCTTCTGGGGGAATGCGGGTACAGGATGAGGAAAAGGGCTGGGAAAGGGGTCTCAGCTCCAGGAACCAGAGAAGCCAGTTCCAGCTGCGCGCCCCTCGCTCCGCCGCCTCCTCTGGGCCTCCCCCGACTTCCCGCCCCGCCCCGCCCCGCCCCACCCCGGAGCGGGTCCGGAGTGCCTGGTGGGCTGATTCCGGAGCGTAGAAAGGAGCACGGAGGCGAGAGGGAGGCGGCGGCGGCGGAGGGAGGCAGGGAGGCGGGGGACCCTCCTCGCAGCTCTCCCAAGTCTGCGCGGAGCCGCCTCGGGCTGGGCTGAGGGCTGCGCGGCGGCGGCGGGGCTGGGTCATGATGCGGGGCTCCCGGGACCGCGCCGGGCTGGGCGGGTGGCGGCGGCGGCGGCGGGTGGCGAGCAGGAGCTGTCCGCGGTGCTGAAGCGGTGGCGGCGGCGGCGGCGGCGGCAGGGACCCGGGGCCGGGAGAACAGGCGCCCTTCTGGGAGCTTCACCGCGGCCGCGAGGCGGGGGCACCGTCGCGCACCAGCTCATGCCGGGCCCCCAAGCCCCGAAGAGGAGGTGGGACTGTTCTCGGCGGGACAGGTAAGGAGCCGTCTGGGGGCGCAGTGGGAGCGCAGAGCTAGGCACCAAGCCGGGATTGAACTGGGGAGTGCAGAGGGACCCCTCTCGGGGATGGGGGCTCTTACTTCCTGCTGGCAGCCCGAGATCGCGCCAAGTCCAACCCTCCCCCTCTCCCTACATGCTGGAGATGCTGGGAGGACCCTGAGGAACTGGGGCCCGGACAGGCACCTGGGTACCCTGACCCTACGCCACCAGGCCTTGACTCCGAACTCAGGCAGCTCTGAGACGCCCTGCCCACGAGGAATTTATGAGTCTCCCTGGCTCCTGGTACCCCAGTCCCCACCAAGGTTCTGGGACACTAGGGAAATCTGAGCCAGCCTCACTAAGTTCCCTTCTCCTCCTTCAAGCCTGCTCATCAGGGTAACTGGGATGGCTGTGGATGCCTCAAGATTTCTTTGCCCCAGAAATGGCCGATGGGTCAAGGGATGGGCCAGACCCATTTCTCCAGAGAAAGAAGGAGTTACCAGGAGATATCTCAATTTTCTTCTGTGGCCCTCTTGACTCTCATGGAAGGAGGCTGGTTTTGCATCACACTGCTTGGTGCATGAGGGCAGAGTTGGGGAATCTGAGTCCTGTTTTCCATTATGTGACTGAATACTGGTGACCTTAGACAGAATCTCCATTTGGAGTCCTCCCTCTTTCTGGCAAGAGTGTGCTGAATGAGCTCATTCAGGCCTGCAAAGTGCTTCCAGTTCTTCGGAACAGAGTTCTCCGAGTAGCAGAATGTGGCGATCAAAATAAAACTGCGTAGAGGAAGACTGGCCTGTCCCTGTGGCTGACCACTGCTTTACCCTCATCCTCTCAACCCAGCACAACTTCTCCACTGCCAGTTGTAGAAAGAGCACTAGACTAGGAGTTCCTGGCTGGGCGCTGGCATTTACCAGCTATAGGCCAGTTACCTGAGCTCTCTGAACCTCAGTTTCCTCATACCTAAAGTGGGGATAAGGTAGCTGCTCTGTTCACCTCAGGGAGCTGCCTTAGGAATCAATGAAAGAATGTCTGGGGTTGAAGGCTTGTCAACTGTATGTCACCATACCAGTGTGAGCTGCTGTCACTATTTCCATCCACCTACCAGGCCTGCTGGCTGTGACCTGATCGTTGCCACCCTTACCCTCTTTTCTCCCAGCCTGGCCGTGGCTCTCTTTGTCCTTGGCCTTCCTGGGTTTCCAGAGTCAGTGAAGCCCAGCTTATAAATCCTGAGTTGCCGAAAGGGTTCTCTCCCCTTCTCTTCTTCCATCATCACCTATAGAGGACAATATAGGGTGAGAGTCTGACTCACAGTTTGTTTTTGGTTTTTTTTCCAAGAATCACAGATCTAGGGAAACAGCTCCTTGAAGGCAAGGATTGTGTTGTTTTCATCTCTTTGCTTTCCTCCACACCTCCCCACCCCCATAGCACCTGCAAGATAGTAAGGACTCAGTAATTGGGTGTAAAATAAGAGAATGAAGTTTTAAAATAGCTCAGAATAAAAGCATTTGACTGGAAGTCAGGAGCCCTGTGTTCTGGTCCCAGATCTGACACAGACTGTCGCAGGCAGCTCCCTTCCCCTCTGTGGGCTTCAATTTTGTCATCTGTAAAAGAAGAAGGTTGGACTAGATGAATTTTAAGATTCCAAGCCCTGATGTCCTATGGGGCTCTCTGAGGGCTGTCCTGAGCTTACAAATCCCCAGTTCTCCTTGAACACAGAGTACCAGCTTCATTAACCTGGTTGGAAAAGGAAGGTAATGCCCTTTCTGTGAAGAATGGGATTTTATTAATGGAGTGGAAAGGAGCAAAGGAAGCAGAAAAGGCTATTTATGTTTTTGGTATTTTCTTAAGATCTCCTTGTTCCTTATTTCCCTGAGAAAGCCATGAGGGTGTACAGAGTTGCTGAGCTGGGAGGGCCTCTGCATCCAAGCCAAGAGGCCAGGAAAGCACTCCCCCCACAACATCCCATGCAAGTAGCCAGTCCTTGGCCATCTCCTCCCAGGGACCCTGCCTGGCTTGGATCCTCCTCCTAAGACTAGAGGAGGGGACAGTCAGGATAGATCTATCCCTGGTGGGGAGGATTTCTTTATATACAAAAACAAAATGAGCCTCTCTGACAATAATTTTTCTCAACTGTGGCAGGCCTGGCTATGTTAAGAAAAACCTTAGCTAATTGGCACTTGGGTAGAGCTGAGTAAGCCATGCCAGTGACCTCCCTGACTTACCCTGCAAGCGTCCAGCCAGGGTGGGGGAATCAACCCCTCCCCCCATGTCAGCACTTTCTGGCTCCCAGCTGTTGGTGCAGCACTAGCGAGAATCAGCTCTCTGGAGTTAATGGACAGTCACTAACCCTCATAACAAAGTGACAACAACAGTGGCAGCCGAAAGCATAGAAAGGGGCTTTATTTTCTGCAAGACTGGTCTGCTGCTGGGGCTAGAACAATGTATCACCCCTCTTTCTGCAGCTGTCTGGGTGGACACCCTACCCCCAGAGCTGTCAGGGCTCAGGGCACCTCTGGTCACCCAGGCAGACACATCTGGCTCCTCTCCCAACCAGGAATACTACCCCCTGGCTACTTACCTGCCTCTCCAGCCCCCTCCCTATTGAGGCTTCTACTCTGACCACCTTTGCAAGGCCTCCAAGGGAAGAAGAGAGTCAACCCTGGCACATGATTGGTTGATTTCAGTGACCTGGGGCTGGTGGCGAGGTGGGGTTGGTGGCAGGGAGATCTGAGGAAGAGGGAGAGATCAGTGTGACATGGTCATTAAGAAATGGTGTGTGTGTGTGTGTGTGTGTAAGAAAGAGATTGAAACTGAAATACAGACATGCAGGCCCCTTTCCCTGGTGGCACACACAAAATGACAGAGGCAGAGAATATCTGGAGAAATCTGTACATTATTAATTACTTTCCAATTCAAAAGGTCAATTCATCTTTGCATCCTAGAGGGACTTTCAACCCTAAAGTACACCACTCCATGGAGAAAAAAGCAGAAGGAACAGGCTACACTTTGGGAAGAAGAAACATCCCAGAGCTCTAAACTTTTGGCACTTTACAACTCCTTTCCTTTCTCAGGGGTTCGGTGGACAGCCTGCCTGGAGCAAGGTCCCCTCTGCTGCAAGCCAGGGCACACTAAAGACTGGTCTCATCTCTGCTCTTTGTATTGAGGTCCTCTCTTCTCTTGCCTCTTTCCTTATCCTCTCTTCTCCATTCTCCCTGCAGCTGCCACCAACCACTCTATCCCCTCCCCACCAGTCTCACCCCTCTGCCCCAAGCAAACCAAGCAGGGAATGAGAGCCTGATGCTCCACTTCTCCATTAGATGTGTTATCTTCCACCATTAGATTTGCTGTTTGCTTATAAGTGGTCGGGAATGAGCTGCTTCAGTGGAGAGACAGGTTGTTTCAGCAAGAATAAAGATCTGATTTCCACCTGAAAACAAACTAATTTGAGTAGTGGTGTCACCAGCTTAATCCTCCCAGCAATTTCCACCTTTCTCAGCCCCAAACCCAACCCCTAGGCAAGTGAATTATGTTCTAAGAGAGACCAGTCCAGCCCACAGGAGCCTAGGGTGGCAATGGATTAAAAAGAGGGTAGACTGATGTTCCCAGGAAAACAGCAGTTAAGACTCTCATGGGAGTTGGGAAGTGCTCCAGCTGTTTACCTCTCTTTCCTGGGTTTCTCTCTCTGCCCTCTTCTTCTCACTCTCTGTAGGTCCTTCAGTCATTCTCAGATCTCTCTCTAGCCCTGACCACTACCCGGAAATTCAACTCCATATATCCACTTGCCAGGGGAGTTTCTAACCTCATATCCCAAAAGCACTTCAAAACCAAACTTATCTATTTCTCCTTCCCATTCTGCTCTTCTGTATGTGGGGTGTGTGTGTGTTTGTGTGTGTTTGTGTGTGTTTGTGTGTGTGTATGTGTCATTTTTCCCAGTTAGTACTTGGTAGCCCTTTTCAATCTAAATATTCTTTTTTTTTCAGCTCAGGAAATACTTTTTGCTTTCACTTCTTTATTATTTTTCTCCTCAAATCTTTCTATTGTATCTTTATGACACTCCTATTAGGTGGATGTTGGGCCTCCTGGGACTCTCCTCCATGTCTTTTAACTTTTGTATCTTCCATCTTTTTGTCTTTTTGCTCTGTCTTGGGAAATTTCATTAACTTTTTCTTTTATATTAAAAAGTTAGTCTTTGTGTCCATTCTATTATCCAGTTTCTCCACTGAATTTTTTTTTGGGGGGGGTGATTTTTTTTAATGGAGGTATTGGGGATTGAATCCAGGACCTTGTGCATGTTAAATGTGTGCTCTACCACTGTACTTATCCCACTGAATTTTTGAAAATTTAGACAATTATTTTCAATTTCCAAAACACTTTTTTGTTCTTTTATTGTTCCTCTTTCATAGCAGCTTGTTCTTGTTTTATGGATGCAATGTCCTCTTACATCTCTCTGAGGATATGAATTGAAAAAAAGTTAAAGGTCTTTTCTGTAACTTGAATGACTTAGGAATCTTATGGGTCAATTTTCTGTTTTTTTATTTAATCTTTCTCTTTTATTTTCATATAGCTATTTTTCATTATCTTTTGTTGTTCACTCAGAATTAATGAATAAAGAAGGTGTTCACTAGCATAGGCAGCTGGTGTGGATTTCCTCTGAAGTTGGGTAAGTTTGTTTCCCTAATAGGTTTCTCCTTTAAATGAGAATTGTTCTTACCTCTGATGTTTGTATTTGAAAGTTTCTCTGTACTGATTTCTTCAATAAGAAATCTCATCTGCTTTTTATCTTCTAGAAATGCCTCTGTGTTTCTGGTCCACTGATATTCTTCTCTGTTTTCCGGTTTTGTTGTGATTTTGTTCTTTTGAAAATATATGTCCTATCATTTTAATGGAAGCTTAAGATGGAGAAGAAGTGGTCATTTGTGTTCAGGCTGCCTGCTTGAACCAGCAACTTCCCCATAGACTTTTTGTCTAACTTGGTGGCATCACCTTCTACA